GATCCAAGTTATTAGGAATTGTAACGGAGATGATGAATGTATTCCAAATAAATATAGTGTCATTTGCAGTATCCATTTTGAAGCTGGAGACTTATATACTACTAAAAGAGGACTCCGGCGTGTTGTTACGCATGCAGTACCTCAAAAGGTAAATTAAAAATTTTAACCGACTTCAAAAAGAAAGAGGTTCTATACGTCATATTTGTTATTTTTTTTTTCAATTGTTGTTCGTGCATATCTCCGAGATTCGTGGACCGATTTTGATGATTATTTTTTTGTTTGAATCAGTTTATTAGCGAGATGGCTGTATTAATTAAGTGCAGAGCTGATGAGTATTTTCGGAGGGAAACAATGGAACTCCTCAATTACAAACAGTACTCAATGCATGTTTTGTTAATTTAAGAAATATAAAAAAGAATGCAGGCCTGGCCAGGCATATTTAGGTGATTTACTCTGGCTTATGAAAAGTGGAAAATATAAACTTTTTCATACAAAAATAAAAACAGACTTCATGTTAGTTTTCCAATTACAGAGCATAATGCGACTCAGTGGCTACCAATGCCGAATTATGCTGATGATTAATTGGAACGTGAATTAGTTTTCAAATGCACCAGCAAAGTGCGCTAAGTTCAGTGTTGAAAAAAAAGTGGAATATAAAAAAAGTCAATATTTGTATATATAATAGTTTGAATTAACTTTGATTATTTAAAAAAACCTACAATGAAACAAAAGTTTTAAAATATTTTCAACGATAAATAATATTACTAACGATAATATTTAAACAAAACATTTCGATCAATGCCAACTTAAAAACAGTGCGTATGAACACAATTTTCGCCTTTCCAGTATCGATCGAAACGGTGCAGTGTGTTAAATTTTTGCCACGGGACCAACGTTCGACGCATCACCGCGGTCGTCGGTTCAAATCCCGCACTCGTGTTTTATTTTTTATTATATTTTTTTTCCATTTTTTATATATTTGTTTTAGACCCCAGCACCTGTTCTTATTTTTATTTGTCTCCCTTTTATTTAGACTTTATAATTATAATTTTTGGACTAAAGGTGGTAAACTGTGGAGCATGTGGAAGTTTTTTGGCGCCGGGCAATGCTGTTGTTTGCTGTGCTTGCCCAATAAAATATCATAAGGCCTGCCTCGCCATCTATTAATATCAGAGAAAAAACTTGAATTAATATCAAAGAAAAAAATACTGCATAAATAAATAGTATTATTGCATAAGTTGACAAATAATGCTATGCAATAGCTTTACCGCGGCAGTCCCCGAGTGCAACACGATTTTTTTTTAAGTACACGATTTGCATACCTATTTTCTAAATACAGTGGAGCCCCGGTAATCCGGCCCCTGGCTAATGCGGCACCCCCTATAATCCGACATCGTCTATTACATACAAGTATTCGCTAATTCACGATTGAACAAGTTACAACTTGTACGCACCATCACAATTGTGCTCGACGCGTAGGGTATTTTTTTTATATTTTTTTGTAAATTCTATAGCATTTGACGTTACTTTTATAATAAAACATAATCTTTCTATTGTGTTGTTTAATTTACTCAATTTGACAAACATAACAAAGTATGTTTTGTAATCTTATCATTGGATCTGTAATTTGTCGGATTACAAGGTACTCTTTTGTAAAAAAATTCGGACTATAGGGGGTCTTAGGCAGTACTCTATAATCCGACAAATTCGATAGTTCGACACTGCCCTGCAAAATGTTTGTCGGACTACCGGGGATCCACTGCATTCTTTTAAGACCCTTTACTTTGATACCTCGCTTGACGGGTTATAAGCATTTTTTTTCTAAAGGTTTCATTTTGGCGCCTTATTATTGGGCATACATACATGCATACACGCTCGAAAAACATTATCCACCGCAGTCGGGTAAAATTTTGAACAATTAAAATATTTTGATCTTTTTACTGTCTTTTATTGGTAAAAAATTGACTAACCTAGCAACCCTGCATTCACTCACTCATAGATAACCGCCGCCATTACGGTGCCTCACTTTTGTCTTAGCCGAAATTCTGTCCGCCTTTTTTTATACGTCCTTGTTGCTCTAACAGAAGATTTATATTATTGATTAATTACCTGTGCTTTATGAAATAATATTCAAAGGTATTGTGTATCAGTGAATAAATAATTATAATATAGCATATAAGACTATTTTATTGTAATGTTTTTAAATAGTGTGGAATCAAAACGGATAGTAGGTAAGCGCCCAGTCATCTGCGCGTGTCGTAGGTACCTAGATAGGCAGCCGCCGGCGCCGGTCGTCGCCCCCGGCCGGGGCTGATCTGGACTGGAGGCATTCATTAAGTTTCCGTTTTTTTAGGAGTGCTTATTTTAAGTGGTTTTACAACTTCTATATAGACGTGTTTAAAATGAATAATTACTCATAAGGAAGAAATGACAAATAATAACCAAATAAAAAAATAAAACACATAAAAAAAATTTTTAAAAAATCCGAAAAAATCAGGCATACTCTATACACGTAACCCACCAATCTCACGAAGTTTCATTGAAACATTCAATTTCACCCTATATAGCGGTGGAAAGACCGTCAGCTGACGCAGTAAAGGTAAAGATTATTCTAGCAATGGACAGAATCTTTCTCGATATATTTTCGTTTCGTTTTATTTGTAACTAAATAAAAGAAAATCGAGGGCAAAATGAAAAGAACCCAAAATATATTAAAAGTTAATATGAACAAAATCGAAATATAGGAATAAAAAGATCACGAAAGTTATTCATCGTCGATGATATCGCTATCGTCGTCGTTCTCTGACGAATCATCGGCCGAACTGTCCTGCAGGAAATCGTTTTCTTCGTCTTCATCAAGTTCCTCGATGTTCTTCACCGTCATCTGTAAATGAGCATGTGAATGATCAAAATTAGGCTACTAGAAAGCTGAAAGAAAGTGTCACCGACAAAAATTCCATACCGCCAATATTTTCGATGCTATCCGTTATACTGGTGACTGATAGGGGTACTTGATCTCCTTCGAACCATTTAAAGACATATTTGTCGTCGTTTTCTTACCATCCCTAGTCCGTGGGAGATAATTAAGAAGGGTCTTGAAGGTGAAGATGAAGTATGACTATTACCTTGACACTCCAGATATCGAAGGATTTTCAACGGCTATCCTGTATTTTGGCGGTAAAGCGGCGAATTGACGATAGCACTTCGTGTGATATTTTTGAAAATCGTTCAATTCCAACGGCACTTTGACACTGTTTAAAGACAGATTGTTTTTCTGTCGAATCTCCAATATCGGAGTACATTTTTCCAACGTTTTTTCAGAAAAAAATATCAATTTTTCTTTTTTTTCGCCACAGAATATACAGTACAGTTGAATCGTCGACATATTTGGACTTGCGTCCGTTCGTTCGACGAGGAGAACCGAAACTGATTGTGTACGACAAAGATCCACACGGACAGGCAGATGCTGCTTTGAAATTTTAGGGGGAGAGCGGAGAGGCTTACGTAGCCCGAAGGTCGTGTTATGGGTTCAAGGAAGGCCAGAATGTATCGCAAAATATGTGTTTGAAAGCGAACAGCCTCACAGCAATACTCCAAAATTTTAAATCTTGACTGGGTCAGCTGACGGTCTTTCTCTCACACGGTCAAACATCTCATTATGGCTCAATGCATACGCCAAATTTATTGTTCTTATGTTATCTTGTAACAATAGAGATAGGTTGTCAGCTCATCGCCTACAACATACAGTAAAACCCGTTTGCGATGATTTCACAAGGATACAACTAAAAACGCGTCTTAAGCGGGAAAGCGTATGCGGGATAGGGAAATTTCGAATGTAGGTATTAAGGTAATAAATGTATAATATATGAGAATTATACGAGTATATGTTGTAGAAAATGTTGTGTATTATAATTTATTACGACGTTATTTAAATTAATCACTTAAATTATTTCGCCAAAAAGATTTTGAGGCATTAGCAGTTACAAGGTTTTCAACATAATTTAACTTGCACAATGCGTCTTCGCTTTGATTTAAAGAAGTTAAATATAGCATAGCGTCTTAAATCATTATCTGCTGATAATACCTGGGCATGTGACAAAATCGGAGTTGACTCATTTCTTCTTGATCATTATCACTTAGGCCCTCTTCTTGTGTGTTATTCACAATCTCATTGAATTTTATACAGTGCCACATTGTCATTAATGGAAGGATACTCAGGAAAACCCTGGCGGTCGCTTAAGCGTGTGTCGCTCGACAGTCGTCACGTCAATCGTGTTGGCAATTAAGGCGTATTAAACGTTAAGAAATGTATGAAAACATGTCGCAAATTGTAGCGACTGACAGAAAATGACGTATTATGCGAGAAATCGTCCGTGGCGATAATAGGCTTTTACTATCTACACGAAGGAGTTAGAAGCCAAGTATTTTTAACCTTTTTATCATTGTAAATTAAGAAAATAACAAGGAATATTTGGATTCCTGTTATGCTTATCAAAAAGCCCATTTTGAAGAATTTCGGTATAGAGATAAAGGGACTTCGAAAAAGGACATATTAAACTTCTTTATCATAATCATCGGCCTAATAATGTCCCCACTGCTAGGACACAGGCCTTCCCTATGGATGGAACAGACAGATTGGACCAAGTCACACCTCCCGAGCCCAGTGCGGATTGGTGAGTGCGGATGCGGTGTCCCCCGCGGGCTCCCCCGAGCTCGAGATAGTGAATTTTAGGTCACCCATCCATTAACAGACCACTGCGAAAGTCTTAACTTCAACGATCGCAGCCGAACTCTGTGCCATCGAGCTCCTTATAATTATTAAAAAAAAAACTAAAGATGGTGAAGTAAGGGATGACAATTTGTATGGGAAACCAATCTTATTAAGCAGTCGAACTAGCGATTGGTATTGCCAAATAATAAATTAAAAACAAAAGCACCAGATAAGTAATCGGCAGGATGTTGCAAACGTTATCAAAATATAATACCCAGTAGATATAAATACAATACGATAGAAACATCCAATCAATATTTTGCCTGCTATACTTCAACACGTACAGTTTGTAAAAAAAAGTTTATATTGTTATATATTCTGTTTTCTCAAATATGGATTCGGACAAATGTAAGCATTATTTTTATTTAATTAATATCTATAATCTTTATTCTTAATAATCTTTTATGATAATATAAGAGAGGAACAGATCGTAAAGGATTTTCGGCTGAAATTGGATCGCTTGTCTGGGGAAGTGACTTCCATCAAATAGAAGCCCACATTGAATTAACAGTACTTTTGGTGGTATTGTGAATCTGTTTCTTATTCGTCTATGAGAAATATTGGAATTTTAAATGCTTATTTTAACCCTTCCATTACCCTACGCCTATAAGTATTGCGATATTGTAGCTTAGAACCAAGGTCCATCTATTTCTTTAGGGAAATTCATCATAATCGATTTAGCTATTAGGGCGCGGAAGCGTAAGAAACAAACTCACGCATCTATAATATTATATTATACTTACTAGTGATCCACCCCGGCATTGCACGGGCGAATAATAAATAATGTAGCTACCTTATGATGAATGAATTTTCGAAATCGGTTCAGTAGTTTGTCAGATTAAAATATTCAAAACATATGGCTACGTCTTTAATCACACTTCACACTAATATTATAAAGGCGAAAGTTTGTGAGTGTGTATGTTTGTTACTTCTTCACGTCTAAATTTTTTTATAAAATTTAGTATGGAATTAGCTGACACCCTGGATTAACACATAGGCTACGTTTTACTGCGGGAAAATATCCCTAACAAACCGCGGGTAACACCGCGGGGCACAGCTAGTGTAACTATAAAAGCAATCCTTACATAAACCAGTACCCTTAGCACGAACCAATATCGAATTCGTAACGTTTGCGAGTCCGAAATGTCAGTGTCAAATGTGTACTGATTTTTAGTTCTCGTTACGTACTTTCTGGCGCTGCTGTTCCAGTTTCCATACAAAATTTGACATTGAATTTCGCACTCGCAATTTAATATTAAATTCAATATTAAATCATGGTTCGTGCTAGGGGTATAGTTTATTAAAACAAACAATTTTGTATGATTGCTGATTCTCCGATAAGTTAAATCTATATGAATTATTATCGATCCAAAAACGTAGATGCGTAATCTTTGAATTTTCGGTACCTAACTTAGATAAAGCAATACCCGACCAAGTTAAAAACCAAATGATACTACGACTTTTTCAATCAATAGGAACCTTTCTCAGTACGCGGGTTCAATTCCCTGTCAACTTCATGTTGAAGCAGAACTTTTCTAATACTGTCTTACGTGTAGCTGGTTGTAGCACCTTTATTATTTCTATTTTTCTTAACTTACATTGTTAAAATTAAAATCAGAGAACTAAGAATAATGTGCCTGCCCAATACTATTTAGATATATGTGATATTATAACCAATGATTTTAACTGATTAATGTTTTTTTTAAATTATCGTCAAGATAATAAGATAATTTGAAATTATAAACATGTGATTTTATTAAATAAAACTAGTTTTTAACGGGTAAATACACGGACTTTATTTATTTATTGACGTTTCGATCAGCAGATACTATTAGTTGTTTTTACCCGACTGCGCAATGAAAGAGCGCGAAGCGCGACGCGCAGACAGGGTATAGTGTTTAATTACCCGACTGCGCAATGCAAGAGCGCGAAGCGCGACGCGCAGACAGGGTATAGTGTTTAACAGTCTATATATGTATGTGTGTTCCTTTGTGGCACACTAGAGACCAAACGCGTGGACCGATTTTGATGATTTATACATCAATCGATTCGTCTTAATCATGGGAGTGCTACTAAAGATATTATAACAGTCAAAAATCAATATGGAGACAACTGGGCGCCATATTGTGAGAAAGAAAAAAAAATAAGTTGAAGAAATATATCGAGTGGGGGGGTACCATTGTCTAGATAATCGAACATCATACTTAGGTTTCTTACACTATTTTTTTATTTTATATGATTGTTTAGGATCTACAACGATTTAAAGTTGTATATTAACCACTTGCGCTTTTTAATTTCAATTTTACGTTTGTATGGATCTTTGTAACTCTTTCACTCAAAAAATACTAAATGGATTTTAATCAAACTAACCAATAATAAAGCTCATACATAATAATAGCATATAGATTATAATTTATGTTGTTATTTGGTGAATTGGCCAAAATATAACAATAAGTTTCACGTGAGACGGAAAAAATCTGCGAGCCATTTTGGCCTGCACAAACAATAAAACAATGTAAGTTACATGAATATAATGTATGGTGGGATTGTATCTCTTATATAGTTCTACAAAAAAGTCCAGAAAGCATATATCTATTTTTAATGTGTAAGCCATTATAGCTAAAATAGTGAATCAAAATATACATATATATGAAATAAATTTCCAAATTGCATATTTTGTATAAACAAATTATTTTTTATCAAAACAAGTACTTTTACCGCTTTTGATATTTAAAGACGATAAACTTTGTCTTTTACTCTGTGTAATATCGACAAATATTTAAAAAGTTACAACGATGTTATGATGACAAAGTGATAAAACCTAGGAGGAAGAAAAAAAATGGACTACTCACAGTAGCTAATCCTATACGAAGTACTTACAATAAAACTGTGATAAAGTTATGTTTTTATTTATTTTTAAGCATTTAACTGCTCGATGTTTAAATCTAAAGAAAAGTTTACTAGAATAAAATCCACGCGGACCAGGCAGCGGACGGGACTAGAACCCGCACCCTTCGCAATCCAGGCGAATGCAGTGACCATTATGCTACCACGGCCCTTTTCGCCGCGTTGAAATTTTCCTAGCCTTAAGCTGCAAGGCAGCGCCATCTCTTCGCATTGTAGGTAACCCACAATGTCAAATGAATACTTTTTCATGTATTTTGAAAGAAGCAATAGCATAATGGTCAACTGTGCAGTCCTTCTGTAACACTCTTCGCTTATAGTTGTGTACTGTGCGAATATTTTCTGTGGATATCCTGTGATTACGTGTTTGACCCTTGCATTACGTTACCTGGACCTGATCTTAACCCTGTGATTTGGATACACTGTTTTAAAGATGTTTCGTGCATCTGCTGGACAAGTATGTCTAGTGTGTGGTAGATCAGTGCGGTCGATCAGAAGAAGAACACTAACCACGCAGCTTTTTGAAGAATATCCAATCGCTGCAAACAATATAACTGAACGAGTTCTGCCTTATCATGTGAGTAACTAAATAAAATACTTAAATGATTGCAATAATGACTTATTTAACCATGTAACAATGCATAGAGTGCATGTCACTAGAGAAAGCCCGCGGAAAATTGTGGTACTACATTTTTTTATGCAATGTAATGTAATGACATGACACTAGCGCCGCGTCAAAGGGACTTCAGTAGCGGCGCTATTCATTCATTGGTTTATTCATGTACTGAATAACATTTGTTAAAAAGATGTGTATGTGTGATGTGTAATTGTATCTGAAACTATTTGTTTCAGATACAATTTAACAACGCCGAGTTTATCTGTCAGCCTTGCTGGCGACGCGAGGCGTACCCACCAAGACGTCGTGCGTCCAGTGAACGAGAACAAGAACCACCAGTACGCCCTTCTAAACAGCCAGCAGATCAACCTGTGATAGAACCAGATCAAGCTGAGGTTCAACCAGATCAAACTGTGGTACCGCGTGCTGTTGATCAACGTGGAGCAGTAGTTGACGAACAAGATATTCAACATTCTATTATACAGTTACCACATATTAGTCGGGCACCGAATACTTCAAACTCTTGCATTTTATTCGGATGTACAGGCGAGACAAGGCATTGAATACCAAAGCACATGAAAATCCGTTTGTTGAAAGATTTTAACTACTACGCACCACCTTTTGCATGAGTTTCTGAAGAACATTTGCTTTTAAATGTTTTTAAGATTTTATTGTCAGCCAGAAATGTAAGTCATGACTTTAACGAAGCCCACATCATGGACATGATGCAGATTTTGAAAACTATGCCGCAAGAGGGAAGGGTGGATTTTGAAAAAAAACAAACCATGGATCCAAATGAAGTTTACTTTCTGACTGGTCGAAGTTTCGAACAGTTCAACAGAATGTTTGTAGAAATGCCATCTTTGTCTAGAAGGAGCAAAAGACCCAAAACTGCTTTGGCAGCATATTTGATTAAGTTAAGAACTGGTGAAGCCAATACAAGACTGGCAGATATGTTTCACATAAGCCGAACAACTTGAGAAAGAGAAATGAAAACCGCAAGAGACTGTATAAAAGAAGAATTTACACCTCTACATTTTGGTTGGGTGCACATCACAAGGGAGCAAGTGCTTAGGCGAAACCTTTTCATACCTCAAACTCTGTTCGGAAACCGAGAACAAAACAAATGTATAATTATACTTGATGGTACCTATGTATACATATAAAAAAGTAGCAACTTCCTCTTCCAAAGATTGACGTATAGCCATCACAAGTTCTTTAATCTACTAAAACCATTCCTAATAGTCTGTTGTGATGGCTATATAATTGAAGTAGCAGGTCCCTATTCAGCGACTACATACGACGCTAGCATTTTAAATAAATTAATTGAGGGTGCGAACAGTGTTTTTAATTGGTTTTTCCAAGAAGGAGATGTTCTCATTTTGGATAGAGGTTTCCAAGATGCCGTACCAAACGTAGAGTCTTGTGGCTATGATGCCCATATGCCTAAATCTGTTTCAAAGGGCGAAACTCAATTAACAACGCCTAACGCCAATAAGTCTCGATTTGTGACGATTTGTCGATGGGTCGTGGAAGTAGTAAATGGCCGCTTCAAGAGAGATTTTAAGATTTTTAGGCAAGATTATTTTAACAGAGCTCTGCCTCACAGGCAGGACGATTTTAGGAATGCCGCGGCCATGACAAATGCTTTCCACGACCCAATCATTGATAATGTTAATGCTTCTGGTTTTATGGAGAGAATTAATAATAGAGTCAATATTGAATACTGCCTCGCACAGTATGTCATTGACTATAATCTTAAAAGCCGGCGGATTCCGTTTCAAAGTATGTGTGCCGAGTTACCTGATGTAAGAGAATTTCCAAAGTTGTCTGAGGAAGAACTTGTTATGTTTGCGTTTGGAACGTACCAAATAAAACTAGCCAAGAGTTATTATAGTGAACACGCTAGTAATGGCGTATATACAATAGAAGTGAGAGTACAGAGAAAATGATGATTTGAATAATCTTTTAAATAATTATAATATAACTGGTAACAACTTCTGGCTATTAAGAGGTAAAGTCCAATCTAGGCATGCCCAAAGCCGAATTTATCATACATATATACTTGTAAACTCAGACCACCTTGGGTTGGAGGCTTTAAATCGTTATTATTGCTCGTGTAAAAGTGGCAGACGTACTTTGGGCACATGTGCTCATGTAATAATATAAAAACCATACTATAGACATAGTATGGTTTTTGGCATATGCGCGGAACGAAAGTATTGACCATCCAGCACAGTTTTTAGACAGTATTGTAATAGATGAAAATGATTTATAATACGCATTCTATATTACCATCTGTGCAGAATAGTGAGTCATGAATAACATTTTAAATAAATTGTTCGAAAATAAACAATTATTAAATAACTATGTCGTTTTTTTAATTAATTATTCATCTATTTATTTAGTGAATCCTTATAACAACATTTTTAACAAGCAGAAATAATATACAAAAAAAAATGGTGCAAGCGAAAGTGTATTGTTGCAGTATTATATAACGTCGAATTACTCTGTAACTGTGGGTTGGAATTTGATTCGTATTTGCACACATAGTTAGCCCAACAGTATTAACCCACCAACAAAGAGTCAACCCTGGGGGCAGCAATTTTTTTTTGGTCCAGTGCCCAGCAGGTCCAGCAGCCGGGTTTTTTGATTTTTAAAGGAGAATGACCAAATTAGTACTTCAAATAAACCTGAAAAGAAACAAAACAAGTCCAGTAGTTTATAATTCTGTTAAGTAAGGAACAAAGCTACTTTAACAGTCGGGGCCCATTATTGAAAAAAATTTATCCATCCTTGAATATCTAATGTAGTAGTAATATATAAGCAGTCGGGTATTTTGATTTTTATTGTTTGAATGATTTAACATAAGAAGGAGATGGCCGGTTCTTCTCAGAAAGGTCTCCCAATTTTGGAACCGGTGGTAGTTTACGGTAGTTAGGGTCAAATAAATAAACTCAAAATTACAAAAAAGAATTTTAAATAAAGTACTCTATTAACTAAATTAAGTAATGAATTCATACATAGACAATAAAGTTTTAAAAATCTTCCAATGAAATATCCGAACGCTCAATAAAAGTCTATCAAAGGTAGCTCGACAAAGTAAATAAAAAAACATTATTCTGACAATGCAGACCTGAAAAGGCTGCGAAACGTCAATAAGTAAATAAAGTTCATGCATTAACCCGTTAAAAACTAGTTTCATAACCCCATTCGCTACCCCGTGGACCTTTTTTTTTTAACGATGAGAAATCCCTTGACGGACTGTACCGTGCGCTGGCGAGGCGCACGGCGTGTGTGGGACTCACCCGGCGCGGGACACAGCGCCGGTCCTACCCACTTAAACTCACCGGTACCCTCCTACGCCCATGTGGGAGCATCAGGATTGGCCACTTAACCTCTGTGTGCGCCACTTAACCGGGGCGCCCCCGGGCCGGTCCGGCCCAACGAGTGGACCGGCCGACACGCCTCTGGGGGATTGCGCTAGGGCACTAGGCAATCCCTAAACGGAGTGACCTATGCCGAATGGCACCTATAGGGCACGCGGCGGCCAAGCCGCGCCCAGACTACCTTAGGGCCGTCGAAGACCGGCAGTCACGGCAGCCTGCCTTCTTCGGCCCACCCGAAAGTTTATTACCGACAGAAACACTATACCACCAAAACGTAGTCTTATTTTCGTGTAGTCTTCTGTAAGGTGGATGCTACTTTCCCAGACGAGCGCTCCAATTCTAGCGGCAAATCCGCTATGCCCTACCTTGCTTTTCTACCTATACCTACCTGTTTTCTATTAACACAATGGACTTTATGTATTGTACTTCAATAACTTCACTGTACATAACATCTTTATTTTTTTCATCCTTAAACCTCACTTTTACGCTCAAGACTTTTTAGATTCCTAGCTGCACCTACGATATATTACCTGCTATAAAAACAGAAAAAGTTTTTAAATACATATTCTTAAAACCGTGCAGCAAAGCTACCAGATGATGTGCCACCCCAACCACAGACGAATCCGCCTCCGTACGCAGGTGCCAACGATCCAGTTCAAGTGCAGCCTGTAGCAGCAGTAGCTGCGGTGGCGTATGTCACCCCAGTAAATACAGTTATGGTACAAGCGGTCCCACCGATGGGATCCAAGCCTTCACACATAACCTGCAGAAGCTGCCACACCCAAATCACAACGAGAATAGAGAACAAGTACACGACCAGAACTCATTTGTTCGCGCTCGGTATGTGCGCGGTCGGGTAAGTACTTGCTAATTGTAATTTATCAAATAGTATGAAAAGGTAAAATCACATCATCATCATCATCAGCCTATTAATGTCCCCACTGCTGGGGCACAGGCCTTCCCTATGGATGGAATAGGGACATTGGGCCATGACCCACCACGCGGGCCCAGTGCGGATTGGCGGGTGCTAACGACTGCAGATGCAGCCGGGACCAACGGCTTAACGTGCCTTCCGAAGCAAGGAGGTGCTCGAGATAGTAAATTTTTAGTCACCCATCCAATGACTTATGAATGACTGCGAAAGTTACTTAACTTCAACCATCACAGCCGAACGCGCCAAACACTTGCGCCATCGAGCTTCTCAAAATCACATGATAATTATTAAGTTCCAAAAAATTAACTACATTTTTTTTTAATTCTTTTACTTATCATTTGGTTCACAGTTTAATTACTACATTTAGAAAAACGTTTTCATTTATTTTGACTAGACAGTTTTGGATTTTACTTATTAACATATATAAACTAAAAAAAAAATTAACTAGTAATGTTTTTATTTTTAAGCATTCAACTGATAGATGTTTAAATCTTAAGAAAATTTTGACTCGAAAAACGTTTGACATTGTGGGTTACCTACAATGTGAAGACAGGGAGCAGCCTTGCAGACTAAGAAATAGGAGATTAAAGTCGACACGGCCATTAAGGGAGCGTTAGCATAATTATTCAGTGCATCCGCCCGGATAGCGGAGGTTGTGGGTTCGAGTCCCGTCTGGCTGCGTGGATTTTTTTATAGTAAAAAAGAACTTTAAGTAAAGTATAAAGTAACTATTTATCACTATAAACATTTATTATATTGACATGACAAAAAAAATCGAAAAGAAAGTGCAATATTATTTTGTAATTTGTGTATAATACCTACGAAGCTTCACAGTAGGTACCTAAATTTTTTTCAGTTTGTGGTGCTGTTGTTGTATACCGTACTGCATGGATTCCTGTCAAAGCATCGATCACTATTGTCCCAACTGCGATGCATACATTGGGACCAGCCGTTAGATCACCTGAAGCCTCACGCATGTTCATCTTTAGGACTATAATATAATTTGACTATTATACATATTATAATTTGAAGCCGTTCCCTTTGCTTGCCCTATATTAAATACTATCAATTCCGGCGCATTTATTAACTTTATAATTATTGAAGTTATACTTCTTTAGGCGCGTTATGAAAAAATGATGAGAGTGAAATTTTAAGATGCGCGCGCATCACTGTAACACAAAAAAATACTTTTACTTTTGTGTTTACCGCACATTAAGAAAATCTACCAACAAAATAGAAACAGAATCTCTATTTTGTGGGTGCTAACGACTGCTTTGTGAAGGCCTATCAAAAGTATTTATTAATCTGGAACAACGGAACCAAAGCGCGATTCAGGAGACTACAGCGCCATCTCTTGACCATTGGTGTAGTAGAACCAAAAAAAATTTTTTTTTATTCCTCCCAAGCGGGGGAGCGGGTGTGAAATCCTCATGGATACCTTACAGCCGGCTGCAAGGTTATGTCAGACTCTTACTGACTAAAACACACCCGCAGTTTATGCTTATGGCCTGAAGGGCCTTACAAGCTTCATCTGAAGCGATTATCCCCTGAGAGGGGGATATAAAGTAACAAAAAGTATTTATTAATCTGGAACAACGGAACCAAAGCGCGATTCAGGAGACTACAGCGCCATCTCTTGACCATTGGTGTAGTAGAACCAAAAACCACATCTTTATTTTTTGTAATAAAGTAACAGTTATAGGTATTCATATTTATAATATTTATCCACATGTTTCTAGTTTGTATATTCGGAATACGTGTTTGAGTTTCATACAAGTGCAAATCACATATGTTCTAATAAATTATATTCAGTAGCGATTTTAATTGAATATTTTGATTATTTATTTTTTCAAATTAAAACTGAACTTTATTGACTGTGTCCTTTTCCAGACTTTTTATTAGTTTATTGTAATTAATTATTTGCATGCAATTAAAAACTAATTTTAAACGATGCCAAAGAAGGATAACTTCTCACGCGCCTACATAAGTACACGCACCCATTATTTTTTATTTAATTTATCTGTTTTGCATAGTTGCATTTCGCACTGCTGATTTATCCTACCTCTCTTAGTTTATCGTCCCATCAGCTCTTTGGCCATAAGCTAATTTAGCTAGTTAGCTCAGAACAGATAATATAACAGAAAACCTTGGATAGCTATCGTTACTCCGTGATCATGGCGTTTGTAACAGTACCGAAATATCGGAGACTCATAATAAAAACAAGGTACATGGCTACATGGTAACAATCCCGTTAATACTCGTAGCTATAATGTTGGTGACCATGAAATTTTAAATCAATATAAGATTATCTGTTCTATTAGCAAACTTTCTCTACCTTCCCTTCCCGGTTTTGTATTTTTTTGTAGTAAAACTTTATTATACCGTTTTAAAAGCTAAGTTTTATGTTTGTAATTTTATGAAGCAACTTAATTTTGTTTGTGACATTGATAAGTGCAGCCTAATAAAAATAAATATAATTTTAAATAAAAATGAGTTCCTATTATATTTATTCCTAAGGTATATTTTACTTCTGATATCATAATTATTGGCATTATATAAATAAATTGTATTGTATCTTTAATTATCTTTTTCAGCTTTAATTAGGCATACTTCACTCTACAGTAAATGTGTCTGTTGTGTTCTTTTAGTATTCTAAAATTACTAAAAACACATACATAATAACACACAATAATGGTAACAATATAAATTTTAATTTAATTACAAAATCTCTAAAATTAAATGTCAATCAAAAATTATTTGTTTCGCTTTCTTTTTCAAGTAGTAAAACACTGATTCAAAATTTACAGATTGAATTAAATTTTACAATCCACTTTTTACAAAACACTAGATTTATAACTATGTGGGATATTGAAGAAACATTTTTCTTTATTTTTAAATCTTAAAAGAAATTAATGGCTTCTTTTTTTCTTGATTCTCTATAAGAAAGAAAAGTCACGTACTTTGATTACATTAATTTCTCATAATGTTTTTATTTTAATGAAAATATAATAAATAAGCCACTTGTTTCTAATTAGATTTCTGGTATTTTACTTTCATAATGTTTTCCTTTTTACTTAAGTACATACTTTGGAAGAGTTCGATGCACTGGGCCCACGAGGTGGGTCACTGCCCAATCTCTCTATTTCATCTATAGAGAAGGCCTGTGCCCCAGAAGTAGATACATTAATTTTTTGATGATAGTTATCGTTTTCGTGTCAAAATGCCATCGGTCCATGCGTTTGGTCTCTAGTGTGCCACAAAGGAACAAACATACATATATATACTGTTAAACACTATATCCTGTCTGCGCGTCGCGCTTCGCGCTCTTACATTGCGCAGTCGGGTAAAAAATATATATGAGGAGCTGGCGAACAAAACGGGATAATTACATAAAATTAAAATTTACAGGAGCTGTATAAAAGTAAATGACATACCTACAGGGAGCTTTTGGCATGGTTTTTAATTTATAAATTTGGTAATTTTAACACTGTTTTAGGCGGTTTTGATTGAAAATTATTTGAAATTCAAATTCAACGGGCCCGGAACCTCCGGACTATATAAAAAAGTAGTTTGACCACTTGCTTTATTATACCGTTTGTTCGCTAGCTCCCTTTGTATAAATAGAGAATTTAGGGTAATGTCTGAAATTAAACATGATTATAGAAAGCGGTACACTGAAAGTCAACAGTGTACCTAACTCGGAACAGTAACTACGAGTAAATGCTGCTGCACATATCTTTGTAATTTTAAGGTATAAACTTAACTTATCAGCGTGATAAATATTTATCAGTGACTGTACAATGTTAAATACAAATACATATTTTATTTATCTGTTAATCGGTATCACAATATCATACCTAATAATTTATTTATGTGGCTTGAATTTTATGATAGCCTTATGGTAATCAAAAAATTTTGAAGCCTCAAAATACGGCGCAATTTATAACACCAATAATCATAATCTTTGTCAATCTAGTTTCAGCGCCATCTCTTCACTTTTTAAGTAACTACAAAAAGAAAATATAAGAATTCTATTTGATTTTCATATCAAAATATATTTTAGTTTTGTCCAATTACATCGCAGATTTTATTATTTAAAAAGAAATGAACTCGTCCCTTCAACTAATAGTGACAAGTAACAGTTTCTATTGGTACCTGGGAATGTGTACCTAGTTATTTTTTTTCACGACAGCCAAAAAGGAGTGTTATGTTTTTAGAGTTCACGTGTGACTGTTTATGAATTCGTATGTTTTTATGTGCTTAACTCACTTTCACCATGTTTTCTAAATTATCATTTACTTTATTACTTCATTACATGACATTACGACGTGACATTTCCGCTAGATAAGTATTAAAAAGGACGAAAGCCAAATAAAAATGAAACTATTTGTTACACAGGCCTTGATGTGCATAAATACCAAAAAGTAAAAGAAGTTTATTTAATTTGTACATATGTACATAGTTATGGTGTATGGCTAACTAATATTCACAATTGTAAAACCTTAATCAGATACTTAGCGCTTACAAGCGCATAAAAATTAAAAAGTCAAAATTAAGTTCAAAAATATTAATATAGGCAATCGGGGGACTTAGATTGAAAAGAGTTCTGTGGTAAGTTCATTACGTTATGCTGCGAGCTGCGTTATCACGAAGTCTCACTTCACTATCAAACTAATTGTATACATACATACATGTACCGTACACGATTGTTAATGTTATAAAGTAAAGAAACGCTTTCACTAACCATTTCATTCTGGGTCGGTGTAGACGCGCGGAAGCAGTTTGTGTTTTATTAAAGAAAAACGAAAAAGGTTAAGTTTTTTATCAGTAAACGAGGAAACGAGGTGAGTCAACGCTGATTGGCCTTTGTTTTTTTTTCAATACTACCATTACCATTGTTCAGTTGGTCACGATCTGACATAAGCATAGTTGTGTTTGACACACCTGTGAAAACTCGTGTTTATTATTCGCTCATAGGTAATTAGTCTTATGTGAATAAAGAATTATCATAAAATATAAAGCTTTCTAAAAGGAAATATGGTGTGATATAAAATATCTATTTACAAGTGCAAAGTTTCGTGTCGTTTTATTAGTATTGACGGAGTTGTTGAAATTTTTAAAAGTGAGCACCAAGTTTGTTTCAATAGTGGATATTACAGTGATATTGTTTAAAAAGACATTTTTTTTTAAGATTAGAACTACGGTTAACGACGTGATTATAATGGGGTTTTAATTGGAAACCTCACCTTTACTAAATTATTGTAGTACCTTGTTTTTTTTATAATACTACCTTTTTTACATTTAAATTTATAAAAATATTAGGTCTTTGATGTAGTATTTATGATTTATACAATGCAAGTATTATTCTTAAACGCTTTCGATATTTTTTCCATACTATTATGTTTATAAAAACATTAAAAGCGAGGATGGACTTCCGTTCGAACATGAATAGAGGCTTGGTTACCAACAGGTCTTTATTGCTTGTAAGAAAATGTCCCGTAGTGAACGCACTGAAAAACCAGTTCTCATGGTCTCCTATCAATAAAGAAACCATAACACATTTAATGTACTATAAGCAAGCGATAATATACTTATGATTTCCTTTATAAGATTACGTATGTGTATGGAATGAAATTCCAGACACATACTCAATAAAAAGATATAGACTAAAAATCGATTCAAATTATTGTAGGTAGTTTTATTAAACAGTTACAGAGATTGCTTACTTACATGGTGAATCACACAATTGTCTTATTATTTGTATATGTATCAGATAATTAATAATATTAATTGGATCGACGTAATTGTCATTAGTAACAAGGAATAGGTAATTGCGCTGAAGTTGGTCTAGATAGCATGTTATTGCTTAAATCCGGTAAACGTAGCGTGCATTTATTTTTGTTTGAGTATTGTTATTCGAGTTTTTTGCATGTCCTTTTTGAAATTTAAATGACACCTTTTGGGGTCAGCATTTAGGATGAATCTCGAGAGAGAAAACTGTATGAACATCACTCCAACGATTTTAAATACCGTTGAATCACTCAAGTAAGTTTACAGATAAAGTTATCAAAAGATGAAAAGTGTTCGGAATATAGCATCGTAAATAAAACACGATAAAGCTCAATATCCGTTGGAAAAATAAGTCAGTTTTGAGTAATTTGGCCTGGTGGCTTTCTTTAGGCTATTATTTTATTTTTATAATTTGCGTATTGGATTCTAACAAAAGACTACCTTTGAGGATTTTTTTTTCTTTTTTTTATGTTAGTGTAAAGTGAAGGTGAAGTCCAGACGCGAAGATAGCTGATACAGCAGTTCTATCTGCCGCACCAGCCATCCTCACCCTGCCAGCATGCATGTTGCTTTTTCACGCCTCTTTTAAAGGATGCCATTTACAGACTGTTTTGTTTTCAGCTACAACACATACAATCATGAACGTAAACGTCGTCGCTGTGGGCCCTAAACCTAGCCAGGTCACCTGCCCATCGTGTCGAGCCACGATAGTGACTAGAGTGGACCATAAGGCGACAACTAAGACACACGTTATTGCCTTAATTCTTTGCCTATTCTTGTAAGTACATCTTTAATGAGTTCCTGACAACCCTAAACGAAATTATATTAAGTCTGTCAGTTATATTATTAAAAAGCAATGAATATTTTCTTTTAATCTTTTTTCAATCAATCAAAAATTTCAAAAACGAAACGCATTAAAGTTTGGGAATTCATGATTTCAGTTTTTCGTAAAAAAATATGAAAACGTGACGTCACGCGACATTTCAAATCAAAATATGTCTGTACTGTTTTAAATATGTGAATAAATCCAATACTGTTTGATAATCTACGTGATAGACGAAGAAATAAAAGTAAATCATCATCCCTATTAATAACCTTTTAATGTGCTAGGACACGTGCCTTCCCTTGGCTGCCGCCTCCTTCTGCGAATCGGTGATGACGCAAATATTATGTGTACTGTACTCGGTACAGTACACATAATATTTGTTTCTGTCACCCAAATAGTCCTTACGGGAATTTGAATCCAAGACTTATAGATCAATATTTAAGAGTACTACAATTGCACCGGAAGAATGAAGTTTTTTTAAAAGAATGAGACAAATCTTCCATATTTCCTAGTCCACATAGGCTTAACTATTATTAATATGTAACCAATGGAAAAAATTACATTTAAAATCCATTTTACTTTATCAATATATACGCGTAACTAGATAAACATGGATGGTAGGACAAATCAATAAAATATTTTGGATATATCAATATTTTCATTAAGTTTCTTGGTACATTTATGGTGGTTGCACAGGAAAGTTATCAGCAAGCATCTTTTATATTTTCTTCTTTCATCATGTCACGTTATTATATCCGAAGATGGGTGCTAATAGCTGTAACACAGTTTAAGAGACTAATATTTAACAAACCATAATAGTACCGTATTTTCATCTTCTTTTTGCTTTAGTCCCTCCTTCCTCGAAATATCTTGTAAAGGTTGCAACATGTCAGAGTATCGAATCTGCTAAGCTAACGTAAAAATGGTATTTCGATAGTGGCTCAATGATCACAGTTTTTGACTCAGTCCTAGTAACTAAAACATTAAATAAAATTGGATAAAGATAAAAATAACGACTGATAACCCAATTAATTTGTGATTTTGATTTTTAGTAATTATAACTTTGTAAAAAAATCAACTACTGAAAAACCCAGTGTAACACGATTATTACTTGAGCTTTATACATGTTTGGGCTCAATATTTATTTTCTAAACTGTTAATTTAAAATTTTCATTGTTTAAAACTAAGGTTGTTTCATTATTGTTCATAAATTCAGAGAGAGTCGGTATCATTTTTAAACAAGGTCTAAATTTAAATAATGTTTGAAATCTTTTGTGTTAAGAACATTATTGGTGCTATAGTCATTTATACTGTTCATTCTATACTTACTCAGTAGTCTGTATGTAGTACTTCAGCACTACATAAATACACATTATCTGCTGTGCTGTCATAATATTTACTTCCCGTGTAGCGAAGTATGCAATGCCTTGCTTATATAATGGCATGCCGACTACGATTCTAAGACTTTTAGCTGTAAAAATCATGAAACTATCTTTTTTCACTCATTAACCATTTAACTAGGTCCCCACTACGCATAGACCTTTTTCCTAAACATATTTGAGTATTTTTGTCAACGTTTTTAAATTCCAGACTGAGAGCAAGTACTTTCAGAAACCAATTTCCGAAGTAGATTACAAGCCTTCTGCTTTGTTGTTTAGTTTTAATGTTAGTTTTATCGTTGTCATAGTGATGGTGATTTTACTGTTAGTCTGTTTATAGTCAGGGTAGGTATTAATTGTTTAAAAGATTTTAAGAGAACCTCGTTGGCGCTGGATATGCAATGGAAGGTCATTGGATGGGTGACCCTAAACTTAAAATCACTCGCTCCTCCGTACTTCGGAAGGCACTTTAAACAGTTGGTCCCGGCTGCATCTGTAGTCGTTGGAATCCACCAATCCGCACTGGGCTTTCGTTGTCCATTGTATCCAAATCTTGAGATTAGATAAGTCCCATGCAGTGGGAACATTAAAAAGGTTGAGAATGATAAATTTATTGACTACCTCCGTGGCCGAGTGGCATGTACGCCGGGTTTCAAATGGGTGGGGAAAATGTTAGTATAATAATACGAGCGTTTGTACCTAATGCCTTGATCACACTTACCGATTAAACGGGTGAGACAGTTATGTATGCGTTTGGGGCTAGGCTAATCGGTGTGTGTTGGAAATATTTATTATTTCTTTAATTTTTTTTGCTTGTCTACAGGTGTTGGCCATGCGTTTGTGTACCGTACTGTATGGACTCCTGTCAAAACGCTGATCATTACTGCCCTAACTGTAACTCTTACCTGGGCACTTATCAGCAGTAAACTACGTCGCTATGGTGTTTAAGGATTACTCATATTCTAACAAAGGTCCATTGTAACTAGTATTGCAAACTGTAGTCATTTTTTCTACAAAAAAGGTTGTCAGCTTGCGAATACAATAAGAGCTGTGAGTCATTTATTGTGTATGTAAATTAATATATTGATTTGTACTATAAAATATAAGTGTAATAATTATTATAGCACGTCATTCGAGAAAAATGGTTTTCAAACACTAGTAGCATGGACATGTATTAATATTTTGATGTATTGTAAGGACATAGGTATGAAAAGGCACAAATCTGTAAAATGCAGCAACATAAAAACAATTAGAAGTTGTTAAGAGAAAACAGTACCCTAAGCACGAACCAATATCGAATTCGTAACGTTTGCGACTCGAAATGTCATTTTCAAATTTGTACTGATTTTTAGTTCTCGTTACATATTACATACTTTGTGGCGCTGCTGTTCAAGGTTCCATACAAATTTTGACATTGACATTTCGCACTCGCAAACTATTCGAATTCGATAATGCTAAGGGTACAGTAGTGTTGAAATAGGTACGTAAAAATGCTAGAAATAGATCATATATGAAATATACATGATGCTGAACCAGCAAGTTGAGAATTATGATTTCCTTAATGCCTGATAAATCTGTGAGAAAATCAGAAAAAGCACAAAGTATTTTATCCCCTACTAGCATGACTCCTAGTCCACAATATTGCCTTCAATCAAGGTTATCAAGGGTATATGCGTTTATGCAGAAATCTTTTTCATAAAAACAATAAACAGAATTACAGTTTGAAAATATTACTCAGTTAAATGGTTGTTTAGTAGCTCATTTTAGTCAACATAAGTGTTAACGGTGTATTAAATTAGTTACATAACAGATTCTCTTGTTAGATTTTGTTATACATATGCCGCCTTATTCCAAAACGGAGACTAAAGTTAGTCTTAAGTTAGTTTAAACCTAACGTCTATAGAACTGTCTCTGTCTTATTTTTAACAAACAAAAGTTATATATCTATATATAGAATTAGGTTTAGACCCAGTTCAACTTTAGTCACCGTTTTGTAATAAGGCGCATTATAGTTATATCTTATATGTTTAAATGTTAAGAAAAAATTTACTAGAACTGCCTTGCAGGTAAGGAAGGAATATAGAAAATTCAAAACGGCCATCAGAGCCGCAGTAGTATAATGGTCAGTGCATTCGCCCGGATAGCGAAGGGTGCGGATTTGCGTCCCGTCTGATGGCTGGTCTGCGTGGAATTTATTCTATTAAAATTTTCTAAAGGCGGATTATATTTAAACTATAACCACTAGTTTTATGTTTATATGAAATACTGCCAACATTCTTTTGAAAACTTCTTGGAAATGCCGAAAACAATCTGAATTTAACTGCCTACTTACTTACATTAGAAGTAGATAAACATGACCATATAAAAGTAAAGATTAAATTACAACGCCACAGTTTTTCTTTCATCTATAGCATGTAGCAATTCATTTTTCAATCGGTGGTTCAGTGGTGGAAAGCTACCCTGTTACGTGGGCGGCCCGGGTTCGATTCCCGCCCGAGGGAGGATTTTTTTTATTAATGATTTTAAAAGTTTTACTTGCAACATGTTTTCATAAAACCGCACCAATTTTATAGTTTTTGAAAGTATTGGTAAATATAGGCTTCCGCTAATGTTGACGTCTTTTTGCCTATGCGAGTTATTTTGCGAGAGATTTAATATTTATTAATTATGTTTTTTTTTCCTAATGTTTCAGTGAACTTTCTTAACGTTTATGAAGTTTAGTTAAACTTTCTATCTGGTAAGTTTAGCATTAAATTAACATTAATTCAATTTTGTAAGGAATATATTTTTTAAGTTCATTTGTATTTTTATTTTGAATCCTAATCAAATTTTATGTTTGAATTATTAATATTTTCAAGTTAAATGATCATTTTGAACTCTTTATTTATAATGCTTTATTAAAACAGATAGGAAGATAAGATAAGAAAAAGATTTATTTCATAAAATATGGTATATACATTATTTGAAGAGAATGTTGGTTTTTATTCACATATTCTACCATGATAAAAATAATAATAATGTTTATTTCTGAACAAAGACAAATACAGCTTTCGGAACAGAATTCCCGGTAAGTATTATAAATACTTGTAGTGGAAATTCTCGCTCCCCCTAGATCAATTGACACAAAACCATTTGTACAAGAAATAAACAGCTATGAAACTATAAACAAAGCCTCTTATATGTAAAAAAACAGTAGGTATATAATTTTAAAGACAAGCAACATGCTTAGAAAATTACAAAACTCTTATTCACCATTAACAGACAGTACAACTAAAATTAATAATAAATTATATAACAGACATCAGCAGCCAATACAGCTAAAATTAACAATTAATTACATAGGAGATCCTGATGTACGATTATTTACTAATAAGATCTAAAAGTGTACTTGGTTACAAAAAATAATTTAAAGGAGACCCGGCACTTTTCATAGAAAAAATGCTAAACTTGTATACAGTTGAATTTGGTCTCAAAATAAAGCCAAAATTATTTGCTACCTAAAACTACTTTTGCCTTATTTTTAGTGAATCGTGGAAAGAAGTTATATAATGATTAATATTTTTTGATATGGAAACCCTAAATTTTCAAGGGACAGAATTTTACTTCAAATATTACTCAAGTGACTGTAAAAACCATGATTCCTTTGCTTTTTCTAAATAAAAAACCAAATGTCAATTTGACAATCCTAAAATACAAACAAAAAAAATCATTCGCATTTCGCATCCGCTCCCGCGTACTGTGATTGTGAATGTTCTCTGCCGTGATTGCCTTTTTATCCGTTATTTCTCTTGACGACCCGGCTACATATAGAGGTTATATTGACAAACCTACGTATTTGACATTGACAGCTAGCTGCTGATGACAAATATTGCCAGACTACGTTACCCAATTATGAAACACAGTTAAAAAAATTAAAAAAGTATACAACTTTGGAACAAAATGCCGGGTGTCCTTTCATACTCACTTTTAGCTCAGTACAGTACACATAACTTGTTACATTACACATATGCCAGTTATTATAATAATGCCCTAAAATACTTTCATTTTTTTTAATATATTAGGAAACTACCTCCGCCTCCGTTTGGTCATAATCAAGTATTCGCAACCACGTAATAAGCCGTTTTTTGCAGTCAAAAGACGCCAAAGAATATATTTGTAGTATGTCAATCAGTTTATTGTTCTGCTTGTTTGTTATATTGTCGGTACGCAAATGCAGTCTTAGTTATATTCACAGATACTACCATATGCTTCCTTCTTTTATTATTATTTATTGGTGGGAAAGGTGAAGTTTTATGCTTTTTTAAAACAACAAGTAGGATATAAAGCCTTCTCACTGAGGGGTGACCACACTCTAAATAGAAAGAGCTAGTTGGGTATTTGTATGGTTGTTTTGTAAGCACCCAAATCGGTACACAATAAACAATTAAAGACCGAGTCAGCGCAACATAAACTCCATTTAGAAACTTTAATGATGCTACATGCCTCAGCGTTTTAAAGATCCAGATAAGCTTTCGTATTCGACCAGAAACCAATTCAATATGACTGTACCAAGAGAGCCTTTCAATCATTACATCCAAATATTTAATTGATGGCACCTACATTTTTTTATAGATAGTTCCGACAAATGAACACCCCACCTGATGTTAAGTGATGGTGAAGGCCAGACGTGACGTGACTGGTACAGCAGTTCTAACCACGACACCAGCCATCCTCACCTTGGCGGCCTGCATTTAGCTTCTTCACACCTCTCTTAAAGGATCCCAGGTTGTAAGAAGGAGGGAACACGTGAGCAGGCAGAGCATTTCATTAACGGATAGGGCGACAAAGAAATAAGTCACCAAAATTCTTTGTACGCGTTGGAATTGTGACCACAGTTAGATGGTGACACAGAAGGCCAGCGCGCGTGGTCCTCTGAAGAAAAGGGGAAGGTTGTAGTGTTTTTTTTTAAACAGGGCGTGACACTGACACTTAAATAACTGACACACGTAGTACAGCTGTTTTGTCTATGATAGCGAACCGCTGACGTCGGCGTAGCTGTCAAACTTCATTGATTGGGTTGGTAGCATTGAGAAAATAGTTGCTTTTTTTTATTCGACTAAAATACCCGACTTGAGACTTATAAAAAAAAAAGTAATAAGGCAGTGAATCTCTGTTGGTGCGTGTGGATGAATGGATGGAGTTTGACAGTTGTTGAATTTTGAATAATTTTTCCCATATCGATTTGAGTTCTCCATCGGGCGTTGTTTTAATCGATTTTGAATTTTACTCGAAATTGAACTTCCTCGCTGATTTAGGTAGGTACTCTCTTTTCCTCCGCTTACGTCGAGCATAGTAATATAGTTTTGAGTTGATTCGTTGTTTCATCTCGAATGCGGCGGCTGTCTGTTTGACTGTGGCCTTTGCCTTCAGTTGGAGAGAGAAACAAATCATAGACACATATTTGGGAGTGGGCGGTCTATCATCTATGCTCAGTTGTCAAAACAACATTTAAAAATTTCACATTCTGTTTTCGGAAAAGTTTAGTTCTTCTGCCCAAAGTATATTATAAGGAGGACCATAACCTCGTCGTCGGAGTCGTGAAATAGATCCGAAAAGTTTATATCCTGAAGGATATTGGCGGAAATAGCGCGGAGACGCTAACTGAACTGTAATTCGGGTTGATAAAGTTTCACAGGTATCTTGGGTAACTCCTTATTACTCCTACTTATTTTGCAAGTTGTGGCTATGAAAAATAACCCTTTCTGTTTGATCTTCTGTGTTGTAGGTGGATGGTTCTGGACTCTCGCAAGGCGGGGCAGAACTTGTGATAGGAAACAAAATACTTACGGATAGTTTTATATTTCGAACGGTAAGCTATCATCTGACCTCATATTTATTCTCCTAGCACTAATTGAACTGCATTATGCATGATATGGTATTATTGTCA